AAAAAAAAATACATAAACAAACTGACGAACAGTCATGGCAAGACTCTAATCTGTCACTCCTAGAATTTATTAAACAAGAAACATCCCTCTTCATGTAGATGCCCCTTTTCTCTTCCCCCTATACCCATGTACCCCAGCCCTCTCTGCCTTGACACCTATATTTACTTTTATATTTGTTTTAGTGAGGTATTTATATTTATATTCTTTCACAGATTAAAATACCACAGGCCCTCCAGAACCACTCAGCATTCCAGCGTGGACTTGGGTGCTGTGAAGACACAAGCCCAGTTTTTATGTAAAGGTGGAGATTATGCATATAAAGACATCTTCCCTTCATACTGAGAGAATAAATAAATTTCATAGAGTTGACAAGTCAAAATATGTAAATGTGTTCTCATTGATGAGTGCCAACCTTGGGAATCTCCTCCTCAGGTCTGTGGGGGAATGAGACTTGCAGTGAAGGGAATTACCAAGAAACAAGTGCTTTTGAGCATCCTCACTTTCTGCCTGATATTATTATTTCTCCCCTATATCTGATCCACTGAAGTCGCTTAATAAAAATGTTGAATGAATAACAGAATATTTTCATAATGAACTGATGGGATATTAAAAACAAAGTGTCCTAGAGATATTGGTCATTTTCAGCCCTGCTGCAGGCCTTTGTAAGGAATGCACTTCATCCATAGCCTTTGGATGTAAAGACTTGACTCATTTCATGAGTCGTACCCCACAAATGCACAGAGATTGGACAAGACTGACCCAAGGACAGCCAATTCATAGACTTATCATCACCTCCTCAGGGGCTGGCATATGGAGATGAGCTGAACCAGCTAGTCTTTCCCTTGTAAATTTAGAAACAAGGAATGAAACGTCAAAAAGCAATTGTACTGGAGCTGTCAAATCGCCACAGACTTGAGTAATCCAAAGCCATTTGCAAAATGAAGCTATGAAGTGGCATAGAAAAGAGAGAAAACTCTGGTTGGAAAACAGTGACTCTGAGAGAGACTGAACCAGAGACAGGCCATGAAAGGGAACATGAAAAAGACCAAGGGAGAGAGACCAGTGACTAAAACTAGGCAACATCTAGGGCTTTATGACTCCTGATTCATTCTGATTTGTGAATACTTTCAAATGACACCCAACCCTCTTCCCTGAAGCCAAGTGAGTCTTTGTTCATTTGGGTTCAAAGAGCATTATCTAAAACAGCAAGGTTCTATAGGCCTCTGACTCACTAACAACCTATTTGAAAAATTTTCAAATTTGAATAATTTTCCTTGCAAGAAAACATTTTCAAATTCCGTAGTCAAAGTTTCCATTTTCCTGTTTCCCAAGAGGTTTTTAGACATGGTGCAGGAAAGAGGAAGATGATGGAAACTAAACAGTGGCCACACTCGGGCTTCTCTCAAGGCGAACCTGGAGCTCTTAGCCCAGGTCATGCCCACATTCTTCCGCCTCCTTCTGGATGGAACCCTTTGCAAAAGCTCTGAAGTCCAACCTTGCAAATGCACCTGATTGCGCAGAAATCTGCTCGCTCCTGAAAGTTCCTGGGCTGCCATCCTTACTCATAGTTTAGGCATGCATCTTTCCCATCGCTGATGATGTTTTTGTAAGATCAGTTATGCCATGTGCTTGTTGAGTAATACTCACATTGTATTTGTTATTTTATAATTGTGCAAAAACATAACCAAGGAGCCCATGAAAACATGCCACAAGTAGAATGTTATGCATAGCAACAGATTTATAAAACACTAATTAAAAAGTGATTGCTATTCAGACCAACAAAATCTTTAAAAATAAATAGTTAAATAATTATGCTTCTTTTGAACATAGCCTCTGCTTCTTATCCATAATAATGTATGTGTTCCCTTTAGAGTCATGTATTGATACTTTCTCCATGTTCGAGTTTCTAATTTAGGGAAAAAATTAAAAATCCACTTATTTAAAAGTATAATTGTGGAGTCTTCAATGAATTTTTTTTTTTAAGATTTTTATTGGGGAATTGGGGGATGGGAACAGCGCTGGGGAATTGGGGGAAGGGGAACAGACAAGTTGCTGTCCTTTTGTTCTTCAGTCTACTTGTGGAGGACGTTGCTTCACTGGCCCAAGTTGGCACCATCATTGCACTCTTCCCGGGCGAGGCAGATCAGTCGCCGGCTTCTGGAGGGCTGCTCACTGCGGCTGCTGGCTACACACAGTAGCCCATGGCAACCCACTGCCACAGGGGCTGCAGCCTACGCCGTCGCGGGCGACTCACGGCAGCCCAGCTCCAGGTTGAGCTGTTGTTGTTCACCATCTTAGCTATGGAGGGCAGTGTCACTGGCCCTCATATGTGGGATCCGAACCGGGGCCCTCTGGCGTTCCAAGCCAGTTCTTAACCATCACACCACTAGGCCGGCCCTTGAATGAATTTTTAAAAGCAACTATTCTTTATAGTAATGGACCAAAGTTGGCACTTTTTATGCTTTGTGAATTTGTTGAGTATAAAATTTGAAAGATTTTATTAGGTCATATCTTTGCCTGAAAATTAGAATTATATAACTGCATTAGAATTAGATTTATATAGTTTTATCAATTATATAATTGAATGGAATTTGAGTTTTTCTTAAGATCAATAACATATCAGCAAATAGTGGCTAAGTATGGTTGACATTGAAATGGACTTTTAATTCAAATTTGCTTTTTAATTAAAGCCTAACCAAGGCCCAGACCAAGATGTCAAACAGATGGAGTGAGAAACTGGTAAAACTAGGTTATTAAGTTGAATTTCTTTTTATGTTTGAAGTTGAGGCTTCTTTTAAAGTAGAAACAAATTTCATAGTTTACCACTGAAATTTAAGAATATTTCTACAACTGAAAGAACCGAAAATTTACATGTTTTACTGGCATGATTCCTGGGATGGCTTGCAGTGTTGAGTAGAGCATTCACTCAAGATTGCATGTGGATTACAGAGGAAAGTAGGGTTGGGTGTGTGAACTTTGTAAACCATTAAAGCCAACAATCATTATGCATTCAATATCTTAATTACGTATTCAGTGGTTCCCTTATAGAGGGATTGTGAACATTTAATTTGAATTATTTCTTGACCCAATACCAGGACCCAATAACAGCTCAAACTCCTTTCATCCAGAAAATGAGTTAGTCTATATTTGCTTTGTTACACAAAGATTGACAAACCCTGTATTTACAAGGGGCGCGCATCCGCCTACCTATTTGAATTAGTGGGGTTAAGCCTGTTGCACATTGAAGTACTAAATATATAGACCCAGACCCAATAGTCTCTCTCTATATATATTCATATACCAAAACAAAACTCTGTCCTCAGGGGCTACACATACTTATTGTACTTGTATTTCCAAGTATTATAATTTATGTTTATCTCATTGGCCCCATTTTCTTGGAAGCTGTTCATGGATTAAAAGCATGTCTTCTCTTTTCCTTAGAAGCTGCCTGCAGTGTTCGAGATACTGTTGTGCCCACTGGGATGGTTCAGTGAACACTGTGGTCCCTGAACAAACATGGGAAGAATAACAATTTTTCTTTGTTTGGAAAGAAGAGGTTGGTAATTTGTTTCTGTTCGTACTTTTTATAAAATGCATTATCTGTGGCTCTCACATCATGAGCTCCTTTTCTATTTTAATTTAATTCTTCTAGCCATTCCGTCAAATTATAAAAGCAATGAAAATTATTATGACTATTTCTGTGGAAAACAAGATAAAAAATCCGTGAAACTTTACTTTTGCACTGATGGCATTTGCATTTTCTTCTTTAATTCTTCTTCAGCTTTTCCAGGAAAGCAGCTCCAAGTGGCAGGAGGTCATGAAGACTAACTCAGGATCCCCCGGTCTTCAGCTAGAATTTAAAGCAAGTTGTTAGAAGCTCAGCATTTCTTAGATTTCTCCCATCTTATGATATTCAGGTTTTTTTCTGCCTTACAATCGATATTCACATTTGATTTAATATAATTTCCTCTAAATCTTAATATAAATGTGAATATTTCTAAGAGACATATCTTGTACTTCCTGTGAGCTAGCTGCAGATCCACAGTGGTGTGTATACTCTAGTTTGAGAAATATGAGCTAACTCCTTCAGAAAATAGGCTCTTTTGCTATGTTTTAAAGAATAAGCTACTTCACTTATGATTTAAAGCAATAATTGTATGTGATATAAATATATAAACAAAATTGTCAAGTTTACGGCATCCTATAATGAAAGCTTATGATTTAATTTTTATAAAGAAATATGTGATCATTTGTTTTTGTAAACTTTACCTAAAGGTTTATTAGAAATAATCATAATATTTTTAAAATCATCACAAAGGCAGCACTATGAGTGGCTAAAGGCAGGATCTGGGATCAGGTTCTGGTCCTGACTTTACCACTTGCCCACCATATGACCTGTGCATGTCACTTCACCTCCTATGCTCAGTTTCCTCATCTATAGTTGGGAACAATGATATTCCTTATAATATTGGGTTGCAAGGACAATTCAATAAATAATATATGTAAAACATTTTGAACATTATCTAGTGCTATGAAACTATTGGAACATATTTACATTCATGAGTGAAGTTGATCATATATTGATATTTGTTTTACTAAAGGGCCCGTGTCAATGCAGGGTTAATTCAGAGGACTCAGAGTGTGGAACTCAGACCCTGCACTCTCATGTGACTTAGAACACCAAAAATTGACCTGTGATTCCCCTTTCCATCAAACTGTGACAACAGTTCACCGTCTGCTATCTCTCCTAACTCTCTGCCCCAAAAGATAAGCCATGAAGCCATTGGAAAGAGGCCATCCATCATGACATCATTTGATATAATTATTCTTTAGAAACTCAGTTCTCTGTCTGAGGTGGAAGTGTGCTGGGCAGGACTGTCAGGAAACACAGCTGAACAGCTTTGTCTTTCTGGCGCTGTCTTGTCTCTGCAGGTTATTATTCCAGGGTATACATTTTTTGTTTTTTCCCACATGTGGAATGGAAAATTTTAACCTTTTCAAAAAGACAATGATGAAGATGATCATTGACATTGACCTCAGAGACCACCTTTCAACGGAATCACTGGCAATTGATTGTTTTTCCATCACCTTCGTCCTTTATTATCTTCTGGTGATGTGGGTATTTTTTATTGTGTTGATAGCCTAGCAACCAGGCTTTGGGAACCCATGTTTACACAGTTTACAATAAGCCCAGTTTTCAGCTGAACCTGTTCCCACTACAGCACTAAGATAATACTTCAAAATTAAAAGTGCCTTATTGTAGTTGTAAGAACATGCAACAGAACTAGGTTTCATGCACAAGAGCAAAATGTAGGTATTGCATATGTAAAAGAAATATGAGAACAAAGCACTGTTGATGATGTTTACACACTTGAACCTCTAAAAAGTGAGAAGAACCATGAACATACAGAGTCCGGAAGAGCCTACTGGCAGAAGAATGGGAATCCCATCTGAACACATCATCGCAGTGATTGATTCTGTCCCCTGGTTGATTACCTGCCTGAGGACTGGAAACAGCAAGCCAGGAGAGACCTCTCTTAAGAGTGCTTGAAGCACATGCACTATTTTTCCCTCTTGAGCTCAGACAGGTAGAGGCATAACAAAGAATTTGCAAAATGGTGGCTGAATGAACCATCTACTAAAAAGGGAGATTAAGGTACAATCTTTTGCTGCAGAGGATAAGTGGTTATTAACATTATCAAAAACATGAATTTCTTTTGAGCTGACTGAAGTGATAGGTTTCTATTGTCAAAAGTTAAGGTCCATTGAGGGCAATGAGAGAGAAAGGAGTTGCTGAAATCAGGGACTTAGGACTTGAAGAGGCTGGCATTTCAAGAGAGTGTTGAAACCAGTATGTGCTAGTGAGTAAAACTGTGGGCTTTATTGCCAGACAGACCAGGGTTCAAGTCCCAGCTCTGCTACTTAATATGTAAGGCTTTTCTATTTTCTTCCTGTGTTTGGTGTTCTTCTGTGTAAAATGAGGAACTTTATAAAGCTGTTTCAGTGTTTTAAAACATAATATATACAAGGTTCCTGCATGACACATTTTGAAGTTCATCATGACAGAACCACATTTTTCAGCTGTTAATTAAAGAGGATTAAAGAATAATATACTCTGTGATTTGATTTAGTAGCTGGAGATAAAGGCTACATTTGGTATAAGTTTCCTGAATCAATGAATTAAGTAAGCATTTCTAAAAGCTCTACATGTGTCACATCCCTTGCGAGGTATTGTGGCAGAGATAGGAAGAAGCCACAACAGGCAAAGTTAAAACTTGTTGGCCTGTGTTCTCATGGGTTGTATCTGATGATATATTTTCACAGCTATTATTCCTAACATGTGGAGAACAATTAATGAATATTTGTCAGATATGCAAATGAGCCGATGAATAAATGAATATAAATTAAAGATTTGGTTTCTGCTCTGAAAGAAGCATGCAGCTCAGGAGAAAGAGACACGTGTACCCAAGTGACAATAGGGAGAAAAACAAGGAAGAGCATTGTACCCCATCTTCAAGATTCCAATCAAAATGTTGTTTTAGAAGCCTAATCCAGTATAGTAATGATGCTTAGGAATCCTTAAGGGAGAGCCTGCTAAAATATCAAATCAACATATCCTTATTTATTAATGTTTATTTCATCTTAAGACCAGGGTTAGACAAAAGAAATGCAGAAGTGAATGATGCTTAATTGGGGCTCTGGAGGAAAGCACAGTGTACTAGAGCTGACGTGTTTTTATATTGTCACATTGGGTAGATCTAAGCTTTACTGGACAGAGAGCTTGTTGCATATTTTATTAAATGTGAACAAAATCATGTCATATGCCAAAATATGCTTAATAACTGTGGTTGATAAAAACTAATTTTAGAATGTATCATATCAGGATGTTACTCAGAGAAATGTATGCTGATGGAGTTTAATAACATTGAAATTACATCTTTTCACATTTTCTAGTGAAGGCTACATATTCAAGGTTAAATAGAGAAAGACATTTTTAATCTTTTCCTAAGAATTTTTTTCTTTTCTTAATTATTAGTTACTATCACAACCCATTCACCATGATTCAGAACTCATCTATTTCGCATCTTCTTTTTGATTATTTCATTGGACTCCAGCACCTACAGTACAACTATATAGTAAAGGTGAGCAAAAGAGAAACTCAAATCAGTGATTTGTCAAATCTATTAGCTGTTATCCTCAAAGGTTATATACAGAGCGGAAAAGTGAAATTGTTAATCGATTTGATTATATTTTGAATAACCAGAATTTGACTTTTTTTGGCCATTTGCATTGATTTACCTATTCCCATTGTAGGCTATGTGACTCCACACTCACTTCCAATGGTGACCACAAATCTGAGCTGATTAATGCGTCTCCTCTTCCCCGAATTCAGTTGTTATTTCAGGGATTAGTACATGACCCAATTAAAGCCAGCGAGATCCTTCTAGGTCTTCTAAGAAAGGTATCCTAGACCTCCCATATTAGAAATGAATCTAACAGAATAAAGAGAAGATTCCACTGCTGCTATTTCAGCTTAGCTGACGCTGCAGTTAATATAGCTGAAGGCAGAGCTGAGGTTTTCATGGTATCATTTCAGGCATAAATACAGACAGGTTGAAGGCATCCCTATTCATAAAAATTTCAGTAATAACATTTTCTTTTTGCCTAAGCCATTTTAGATGAGATATTGTGTCACTTTCATCCAAGAATTCGTACAAATCTTAATTTCTCAAAACTGTTCCAATCTTGGGTAACTTTCTTCTTTTCAATGAAGAGAATTAGTTAAGTGTTAGTTAACTGTAAAACTCAGCATGCCTTAACTTTTATACTACTGTAAACATCTTCCTATAAAAGACTGCAACAAAAGTCCACCTTTTTGCATATTTTTTTCTCTTTTTTGGTTCGAAAAATATTGTTTGTTTATTTGTGGATATCAAAGATATCTTTGATAAGCATCAGAATGGTTACTAAGGATTTGAGAATGATTATACTCTATAAGTTTCCTGATAAGAAAGCTTCTGCGGAATATGAAAATCAAGCTCCTACAAGAATCCAGTCTCTCTTCAGTGTCTCCCACGAATGCCATTTCTCCAGGTCAATGCAGAAAACCACAATGCTTGAATGAGATGAAAAAAAAAATGGCCTCAATCCCTTTAATCTATTCCTAGTAGATCACTGTCATTATCTGCAATCAGTTCTATATATAATTAGAGGATTTATTTTTGCATTACAAAAACTATCCCTAATTATGTGTTATTTGCAAATTGCTGCAGATCTATGTTCATCTTTATGATGAAATGAGGGTTTTGTTCATCACGGTTATTAATATCATTTCTACACTCTTTCTCCTGCTCTAAACAAGCTGATTTAGTGACAGGTCATGTTCAAAATGTTTTTGAAAAGTATACACCTGTCTCTTCAGCATTCATGCAACACGTTCTCTGTCAAAAAACAAAAACAAAAACAAACAAACAAAAAGAAACCCATTCATCACTTGCCTGTCCTCTGGCAGAAGCAAAAGGCAATAAGTCGTGATGGGCAAAAGCAGACACTGGAACAGGCTTGTATACAAATGCTGTGTTTGCTACCTTATGGTCTGATACAGATGCTTACTATCATCTTGTTTCTTTGTTTCAAAATGTCCAGCAAAATTATAATAAGGGATATCCTTTCAGGGTGGACCTCTTTCTAGGGAAGAGAATCTTTTACTCTAAACAAATTGGCCAAAGCTATCCTGTGACTGAGCAGAGACAGGATAATGGAGAAGTTGTATGTTTCTTCAAACTTTCAGTACCCAAGAATTTCACACACCCACAAGGTGAAAGAAAATTTCTTTGAGCTAGAACAAACATTTTAGAAAGCCAAAGAATATGCAATTGGAGCAAATAATTTCATCGTCTTCAAATTTTATTTTAATGATCAACTAAACTATTGCCAGAAAATTGTTCTGTAGACTACATGGAAGTCCCTGATTTTGTATCTCCTAATATGTAAATCAACAAAATCCTGCCAGTGCTATCAGACTCTGCTCAGTGACAAATAAAAGGAAACTGGGGGGGGGGGCTAAAGTGTACCCCTGAGATTAGTCAAAGATTGTGGACACCAAGGATTAGTAAGTTCCAAGCATTTGCAAATATTAAGAAAATCATTTTCATTTTCAAATTTGTGGGCAAGTT